GCCATGCATCCTCGGAAGGGTCTCTCCATTGCGCATGACTTTATGCGCCCGCCTGGCCAGCTAAGACCCCACCCGGTGCCTCAGCCTCCCAATGCTTCCTTGCACACCACATCCCGAGATAAAACAATACTATGGTCTATTGAAGCCTTTGCCATACAGTGGTACCTCAGGTTACATACACTTCAGGTTACAGACTCCGCTAACCCAGAAATAGTACCTCGGGTTAAGAACTTTGCTTCAGGATGAGGACAGAAATCGTGCTCTGGCGGCGCAGCAGCAGCAGGAGGCCCCATTAGCTAAAGTGGTGCTTCAGGTTAAGAACAGACCTCCAGAACGAATTAAGTACTTAACCCGAGGTACCACTGTATAGTCTTTCAAGGAGCACACGCAGGGGACGGGGTTTGCTAAGAGAAGAAAAATCACCTCCCCGCTCCCTGGGTGCACTGGCCATAAATCGCCTTTTAGGTTTTTCCAGCAATTATCATGTTAAGATAAATCCAATAAAGAATAATTATGGTTATTGCAGAGAATCGGGCTAGAGGGCTTCTGCTGCTGCGGAATAGAGGGGTGCAAGCGCAACAGGGGGGGACGCTGTGCAAGGGGGGAGGGTGCTGCAAAGAAGCCCCCCTCCCCCCGCTCACCTTGGCCGTGACCTTGGGCCCCTTCTTGCGCTCCTCCGCGTGAGCAGCCGGGAAGAGCAGCAGCAGCAGAGAGCCGCCCAGGCCCAGCAAGGCCGCGGCCGCCAGCAGCTTCATCTTCCTCCGCTCGCAGCCCCAGCAGCGCCAACCCGGCCACAGAGCCCGCATCCGCCCCCTTCCCCTCGCGCTCGGCCTCCCCTCCCGCCTCCCCCGCGCGCAATGGTACAGCCCCGAGCCGGGCGGAGCGGAGTCCAGGGCGAGAGGGATTGGCCGCTTCCATCTCAGGAGAGGGGGAGGGAGGCCGTTCCCCACCCCCACCCCGGGGGGCGTCGGCGGCTCCTGCGACAAAGGAACGCCACGTTTCCAGACTCCGATTGGGCGGCGAGCTCGGCCAATGGGAAGCAGGCACGAGAGGCGGCAGCGGCTGCGCGCCGGGTTGGGTCAAGCGGCAGACAAAGGAGAGGAAGGACGCGCGGGGGTGGGGACTACATTACCCAGAGAGCAGTGCGTGGCCGGCGGCGTCGTGCTCTTCGCTGAAGTTGCCGCCCTTCGCCTGTAGGGGGCAGTGCTGGATAGGATGAAGGAGGATGTTCTGTTTGTAGCCCTTTGGAAAAATGGTTACGTGTTAAAGGATCAGACGTGTATAATTCGCATCCATAGCCAGATTTCCAGGGATCTGGCCCTGTTATGCTGCAGTCTTGTACACACTTTGTTGTTGTTGTCTAGTCGTTTAGTCATGTCCGCCTCTTTGTGACCCCATGGGACCAGAGCACGCCAGGCACTCCTGTCTTCCACTGCCTCCCGCAGTTTGGTCAAATTCATGCTGGTACCTTCGAGAACACTGTCCAACCATCTCGTCCTCTGTCGTCCCCTTCTCCTTGTGCCCTCCATCTTTCCCAACATCAGGGTCTTTTCCAGGGAGTCTTCTCTTCTCATGAGGTGGCCAAAGTCTTGGAGCCTCAGCTTCAGGATCTGTCCTTCCAGTGAACACTCAGGGCTGATTTCCTTAAGGATGGAAAGGTTTGATCTTCTTGCAGTCCATGGGACTCTCAAGAGTCTCCTCCAGCACCATAATTCAAAAGCATCAATTCTTCGGCAATCAGCCTTCTTGATGGTCCAGCTCTCACTTCCATACATCACTACTGGGAAAACCATAGCTTTAACTATACAGACCTTTGTTGTAAACACTTACCTGCTGCTTAGTGTGGCATACTGCTACACACACAACGTATTTGCTCAATTCGGTGCAAACAGAGAAGCACGGGGCTATTAGATGCAAACTGGGTTTATGACTTACTTTGGCTTAAGACACTTGGCACACGGAGAAAGCAAAGGTATTAAAAAGCAAAGCAAAACATCTCAAAGATCCAGCTTATAAAAGGGTAAAGGGACCCCAGACCATTAGGTCCAGTAGTGGCCGACTCTGGGGCTGTGGCGCTCATCTCGCTCTATAGGCCAAGGGAGCTGGAGTTTGTCCACAGACAGCTTCCGGGTCATGTGGCCAGCATCTGGCGAACCAGAGCAGCACACAGAAACGCCCTTTACCTTCCCGCCGGAGCGGTACCTATTTATCTACTTGCACTTTGACGTACTTTCAAACAGCTAGGTTGGCAGGAGCAGGGACTGAGCAACGGGAGCTCACCCCGTCGCGGGGATTCAAACCGCCGACCTTCTAATCGGCAAGTCCTAGCTCTGTGGTTTACCCCACAGAGCCACCCGCATCCCTTCTTATACAGTGGTGCCTCGCAAGACGAAATTAATTCGTTCCGCGAGTTTTGTCGTCTTGGGATTTTTTTCCTCTTGTGAAGCACGGTGTCGGAAAAGTTTTGGAAAAGCTTCAAAAATCACCAAAGTCTTCAAAAACCTCAAAAAAGGCTACCACACCGCGTGCTATGAGTTGCTCCTCGAAGTCAAGTCGCAACTGTATTAACGGTGTTAAGAAAAAGGAAACAAACTTGCAAGACGTTTCCGTTTTGCGAAGGAAGCCCATAGGGAAAATCGTCTTGCGAAGCAGCTCAAAAAACCAAAAACCCTTTCGTCTTGCGAGTTTTCCGTCTTGTGAGGCATTCGTCTTGCGAGGTACCACTGTAAAAGGTTATGCCCTAATAAAATCTGCCATAGCTATCCCTCAGGACTTGGAACAGGTTCAGACTTCAGATGATACGCCAGTCGTCCTTAATTTAGCAACAAAAATAAATAAATGCCCACGTGATCGTGACACAAACCCCCACTCACTAACACTAGGCAACAGAATGAAAGAACCATGTTCCCCATCTCTCCTTTGCCCCCAGCAACAAGGTATCTATGACAAAAGTGTCTCTCACTAAATGTAAACCAAGTGAAGAAGTGTGAGTCTGAAGAAGTGTGCATGAACACAAAGGCTCATACCAATAACAAACTTAGTTGGTCTCTAAGGTGCTACTGGAGGGAATTTTTATTTTGTTTTAAACGAACTGTGAAAGACTATGAATTGAAAGTGGAGGTGCTAGATGTACCTTTCCCCTGTTTATCTATTTCGTAACACAAAAAATCCTAAATAAAAACTATTTTTTAAAAACAGTGCGCTTAAGCTGTTTTCAGCTACACCTTTCATCAGCCCCAAGTACTGGATACATGTTTATAGCACAGAAAGTTGGCATTTTGAGTGAGTTATGGAGTGACCTTTCTGTAAACATGACTAAATTTTGACTAGCAGCAATGATGAATGGATCAGTGTATTTTTCTAGTATTGCTTTTGCAGACGTTCACTCATAAGACTGTTCCAGACCATTTCTGCACGAATCTGCAAATTGTTTTTTTAAAAGAACCCAATCAAATTTTTTTACATGTGAATGTGCATTTTTAAAAACATAGTCATACCTCAGGTTACAGACGCTTTGGGTTGTATGATTCCGGGTTGCGCACCGTGCCAAACCTGGAAATACCAGAATGGGTTACCTCCAGGTTTCGGCGCTTGCGCATGTGCAGAAGCGCTAAATCGTGCTTTGTGCATGCGCAGAAGCACCAAATTATGACCCACGTGTGCAGACACGGTGCTGCGGGTTGCGGACTCTGTGGGTTGCGAACGTGCTTCCTGCACGGATCACGTTTGCAACCCGAGCGTCCACTGTACAGTATTGAGAATATAGGAAGCTGGCTTGTATATACAGAGCCAGAACAATGATTATCTAGCTCAGCGTTACCTGACTGACAGCAGCTCTCCAGGGTTTCAGACAGGATTGATCCTCAGGACTGATCCACAGCTCTACCACCAAGCTACAGCCACTTCCTTTGAAGTGTTATCTAAAATAGCATTGTGTAGTGTGCAATTATGTAGTGTGCAAACCAACATGAGTTTGACCAAACTGCAGGAGGCAGTGGAAGGAGTGCCTGGCGTGCTCTGATCCATGGGGTCACGACTAAACGACAACAAAGTGTGCAATTTACACAACAGAGGGATATAAAATTATGCATGGTGTGGAGACAGCAGAGAAATGTATCTCTCCCTCTCATAACACTAGCACTTGTAGACATCCACTAAAGGTGACTGTTGGAAGAATCAAATTACATCTCCACACAGTGCAAAACTATGGAATTTGATCCCCCATGAGGAACGGTCACCAATGGATGGTTCTAAAAGTTAAATTCATTCTGAATTAATGCCAATCACCATTACTAACCCTTTCTTCTGAATATCAGTTGCTGGAAAACACAGGAAGGGGGTCCTACTTGCAGGTTTCCCACAGGCACCTGGTTGGCCACTGTGAGAACAGGATGCTGGACTAGATGGACCACTGGCTTGATCCAGCAGGCTCTTATGTTTACTTAAACCTCATTTCTCATTCTGTTGCCCAACCATCCTAACAGGAGCATTTCAGAATTGTTCACTATCCTAAATAACATGACAGCACTTGGCTACCTTGCCACTCACTCTGACTGCAGAGGATAGCACGCAAGTGAATGTAAAATACTGTGTTCAGTGTGCACATAGCACACAACATATTCACTACAACATCAAGACCAAGAGCAGTGTTTCATAACTTCTGCCTGATGATGACAAACAGCCTGGCACTAGTAAACTAACACAGTGCATGGTCTCAATTCAAAACCAAGGTGACAGAATTGAACATGAATGCTTCCTTTGTTGGCGAGACCATGGAAGCACAAAAGCACATGCAAGCTGTGTTTATGCTTCTTTTGCAAATATAATCTACGTTGCAAACATCTCCAGTTTTCTCTTAGACAATACAGTATTAGCATATTTTGTGGTTACTGGTTGGAAATGCAGTGTCTCATCACAGGAGTAGCATCCTCTTTGTTTTCAAGATGCTAAATGTGATGGGACATGGTACCCGAGAGAAAATAAAAAGGACTACACAGATGTGAACAGAGCAAATTTGATGTTTTATTTTACATTAAAAGGGTGCAAATAGGGGAAAGGGGGGTATTTAAGGTACACAACATTTCTTGCAATGTCCCATTAAAAACAGGCACATCAGAAAAGATCAGTAGCAGGACCCAATTCCTGGCAAAGTGAAATCCAACTAGCGCCAGAGGAGCCTCCTGCACATCGTGTTTGTGAGCCCTTATCCTGAACCGTTTCAAATGCATTTGAAATTGACATTCATGTTAAAAAATACTACGCTTCATGTTCACTGCCAAGTTCCAAGAGCAGTGCCAGGATTATATGAATAAAACATTGCATTACACATTTAAAATAAAAAGATTAAAAATCAAAAGGCATTTCAACAAGAATCAGACATGTGCACACAATACTTTAAAAAAGATTTTTCACAGCTGATTTTTCTTTACAGTAACAAGAGTTGCACTCATTATCCCAATCATCCCATTTTTAAAAGCACAAAAGGCCTACATTAAAGAAACAGACTTAATAAATTATACATCACAAAATTTCCAATGGGAACAAGCCACTTAACTGTGGTTTCCCTGTTTGGGGAAGATACAATATTTGGTATGGTCCACCTGCCCCCAAATGATAATTCTCTTCTCTGCTTGGTAATCGCAAAGACAGACTTATCACTATCAAGTTGCTTTTCTAACTGGAGAAGATTAACCTGTTCCCAAGTTCCACAAGGTAGCCTATACAGTTATGCAGCAGTTATGCGGTTTGGAAAAGCATTTCTTAGAAAAAGTGATCATTTTCCTGAGACAGTCTTAAGAGGATGAGAGAGGCTATTTAAAGCCATTTTCCTGCCTGTGTTTGATTGGCATGCACCTGTCATTTCGGGGGGGGGGGGGAGGATACTGAACTCAGAGCAGGCACTGGAACCAGGCGCTCAATGTAAGAGTGTCCCAGTCCCTCTCAGAAACCACACCCTCCATAGGAGCAGTATTCTGGGGCAACAACTCCAGAACGAAATCCCCATGAGGTGCTGAAGTGCAGGTTCCTACTACATCACTAAGCTGAGGAAAGGGCATCCCGGTCAGAGACTGAGGTTTCCTCGCAATTAAGAAGTTTGGTAATAAAGCATGCAGACTAAGCTGCAGCTCATCCTCAGACCCAAGGCCTGCTGCATAACAAATACTGAAGTAAAGATCTGCACCCCCTCCAGACATTCACACAGCAGAGAGTAATTCCTATAGTGGTTCATCTACAGCACAGACAGGAAGCCTGTGGCCCTCCAGATGTTGTTGGATTCCAGCATCCGTTGGTCCCCGCCAGCATGGTCAATGATTAGGGATTATGGGAGTTGTAGTCCAACAACATCTAGAGGGCTAGAGCTACCCCACCCAAGACCTGCAGTTAAACTATTAAGGGAGGCTTGAGAAATCAGTTCCCTTCCAGTCACTTACTGGGATATGCATAATACAAACACGGCACTGAGAACTGCCAAGGCAAGCAAAGTAGCCTGGCATTCTTAGGCCCTTTAACTGCTACACATCATGCCAACATCAAGACCTGCAAAAAAGAAAAGGAAGCTCAATCAGTGAGGCTCAAAACCAATGGGGAAAAATAGCCTTCCAAGCCAAACAATGGGTACTTCCTTTAAGGCCTGATAAGCAATGCAGAAAGCATATTTTCCCTCTTCCCCCATCTTTAGTATTTTGAGAAAACGGGGCTTATGGCTTTGTATTTATAGGGAGGTGCATATTTGGCAGTTCACACCCAGCAATACAACACCATCTTCAGACTACATACAAAGAAATGCTCACCATGGCAGTTTACCTTCCACAAAGCATCGCTCATAAAAGCTCTTGGGAGAGCTTACAAGTTCCATTCGTCAAGGAGCAATACACATTTTGTTCCTCCATCCTGCAAGTCATTATAAACCACAGATGTGGAAAGATTTAAGTCATGCATGCCTGTTTTGGACTACAGGGGCACTGGGCAGGTCATTTTGAAGAATAAGCGTCCCAGGAAGCAATAGTTTTTGAAGATAAGTTCATGGTGTGTGTTTTAAAATATAAGATTAAGGCTGAAAATTGAAAGGGAGAAAGAAATTCAAACCAGCCTCAAGGAAAAGAATTTTCTAATTCTGCCACTGGCAATTTTCAGAGTGATATAATTACATCACAAGAAAGTTGCTTTTATAGAGACTAATGCTGATTAGCTATTTTAATTTCTTCCACCCTAAAAAGAAAGGCAACTGTTTGGTAGCAAAGTCATGATCATGACTATTTAAAATTCAAGAGGGTGGAGGGGTCTACAAAGGATTACTAGTCCATTTTACAGACACTTGCCTTTCCAAGCGACAAAACTGAAGGTAGATTTTGAATGAGCACTTGGAAGAACTACCCATGTCTTTTTAAAAGAATATCTGCTGACATGTTACTCTCTGAGACCCAGAGAAGATTAGAGGCCAGCTAGTCAGGTTTGAAGGAAGGCAATCCTCACAATTAAGCAGATTTGGCCTTTAATAACGGGAAAGACACACATCCAGTGATGAGAGGGAAAGGAGACCTATATAATCTTACTCATTCCTATTCACTAGCTTCTGACCGTTTGATTCAAAATAATCAAAGACAATACCATCAGCTTTGTTTTGCAAAGGATGGCGCCGATTTAGAACTGGAAGCTTAGAGAGAAGGCTGTAGTAATTAGCTGTAGTATTATTGATGATCATAGTATTCTCTTCAAAGCAGCTAAGATTGAATAGTTAAGAATGAAGGGGGAGAAAGTTATTTTTACCACTGACTATTTTCTGGAAAAAATTAGCACATTTCAGAAATGGAGAAGAATACTTGAAGGCGGCTCCGGCTCCATGTTGCTTCATTGGAAATGGGAGGCTGCAGAAACAGCCCTGGTATGAAGACACTGTATGGAAGCACTGGGAAACTGGGAGACTGTTTTGATAAAACGGGCCAGCACTTTGCATACATTCTCCCATATAGATGCTTAACAACTGAAATGTTCACTTGCGGTAGAAGAGGGTCCTACAAGTAACCCAGACCAAGTTAGTTTCTCTTGCTCCTTACCATGAGTCCACTAAATCCAGACTTTTACTCAAGTATCCCTACTGTGAGACATTTCTTACAGTTTGGTTTCTGAAGAGCTTCAGTATTTGACCAGAATGCAAAATCGAGTCTGGATATTAACCTGCTTCAAGAGCACATGTTCCCTATATGCATACAAATATTTTCATTCAGAAGGAAGCTAGATCTCCTGAGCAATGGAGCAGAGAAGCAAAAGCAAGATGGATTTCAACCATCAGACATTAAAAATAATGAAGACTTCTAAAGAAAAACAATTTGGGGGAAAACTTTATTGTGTAGCTTCCTCCATTTGCAAATTCTAAGATGCTCCTCAGTGGAAGAGAACTAGACTGCAAAAGGACAGGTGCGTGTGGTGCAGCTGGGAGCACAAAGGTCAAGTTTTCATGAAATCTTACATCTCATATTTGATATCTCCCATGCCAAGAACGGGAAACAAGGCTCATTTTAGCAGGTGGCCTTAGAAACATTTAAAGAGAGTGTTAGTAGTCAGGAGAAATGGGCTGAGAAGTTTTAAAGGTCTTCTAAAAAAACAAACCCTTCTAATCAATGACTGATGGTGAAGAGTTCACTCCTCTTATCTGCATCTTAAATGCAATAAAAAGGCAATTGGCCACACTCAGAAAATGGATGCACAACTTTCTAGTTCATGAGCAAAAAACAAGTCTACCTTTTGGCTCAAGGGTTGAAGTAGTGTTGGGGGAACCAGGGAGAGGAAGGCAGTCCAAAGCTCAGCCAAGCAAAGCTAAAAATGAGGCTTTTAGATTAAGAAGAATACTCAAGAAATTGATGGGAACCAAAGGAGTTACTGCAGAGAGAGTTGCTTCTTCTCCCTGAGCAGGTTTCTTCTGTCTGTAGGCAAGGAGCTCCCAGAGTTTTCCCCAACAAGTTAAGAGGGTTATGGTCATGAGATAACTCCCTCCCCAAGGATTACTGTCTGAACTACAGCATTGTGGTGCCACCTATTAGGGAAGATGAGACACAAGATTTCAGGTATCAAATTTCTGAAAAGGAAACATTTTCAGTTCACTTCAAGGCAGTAGGCAGAGGCCACATGGTATGTCCTGGCCTTTGGGGCCAACTCCCTTAAATTTCCAATTATTTGTCTCAAGCCATATCCACAGAAGATCTGCTGGAGTTCACAATCTCTGCCTTGGAGCACACTGAATGCAGAGTGGCCAATCCCATTTGGAAAGTCAGAATAAAACAAAGTTATCCAATTGCCTGGGGCATGTTAATAAGGAGCCCTGACTGCATAACAGAAAGAATCATAGGTAATACTCAGACTGCTCTGCTGGAAGCCACATGCTATTCTAGTCTGTATAGATGGCCTTGAACTTCTAAAAGGCCTGATAAAATATGTCATCTAAGGCAGTGGCAGTGTCCTCTCGCTGATGAAATAGCTTTGCTCCCTTTAAATGGCCAAACTGCCTCATCCTTTCCACTTTCGGTTACAGTAGTCTGCATTTGCATTTCTGTGACCTGCCCAGAATTCAGCCCAGCTGACTTTTCTCCTTCCTGCCAGCAGAAAGACTTCCAATTCCAAGCAGGTTATGTCAGGCACCATGGAGAAAAACCACAAGAGGGGTGTTCACTGACAGCTGGAAAGGGCAGCTGAAAATTCAAGTAAGCTTCAGTGCACAACCAACAGTGGGGTATGAAAACCCCTGAATAGTCCCAGGGGATTCCAAATGTGGTGGACAGACTAAGTCAAAGGGAGGCTTTGCACTCAAATACAAGCTGAACATGTGTGCTGGCATCATTCACACCCACAACGGGGGGGGGGGGGGAACACGCAAGTACAGCATACGCATACATAATGCTAAAAATAATTAAAAGTGCAACAACGTAAGTTCCTTTAGAACAACTGACACTTCTCTGTAACCATTCTGAGAAGGGAGATGCCACAGAAACCAGTAAATCAAGGCAACTGGAAATGTAGATTGCAGTTCTCTCGCCATTGGCTTACTATCATGGAATTCGTTGGAGTGCGATTAAGAAGGATCAGGTCTAAGCTGCCAGTGTAGTCAAAACTAAGCCGTTCGCAGCAAGAGGAGCTGGGTCCTCTTGAGAGCATCCTCTCTTCACCACCATCTTGACCCCGCAGTTCATAAAGCCCCCCGCTGTTGGTGGAGGGGGGGAAAGCATGTCGAGAACAAAAGAGAAAGGGAGCAGGAACAAAAGCACATCCACCAGGAACGCCCTCTTTGCTGAACTGCTGTACAGACAGGAAGGTAGCCAGCCAACCTTCCAACAAGGGCAACGAGTGCTGGAAAGGATGCAATCCCGATTCCAAAAGGAGCTTCAAGCGTGGAGTGAGCAAGCGAGACCATTTATGGAATCCACCTGAATGTTTATTTTGGAATTTTTTCCCCCTTCCTCTCTTTTTGGTTTAATATGTCCCTTGTTTCTTGTCCTCTCCCCAAGAGAAGCCCCATTCAATAAGACGTGGCAGGAACAGCAGGTAAACAAAGTCCCCCAAAGACCTCAAGGAGACGCCTGTCATTTCTGGCGTTGGGAAGACTTCTTCCTTTTCCTCTTATAGAAGCAGCAGCACCTGGAGCACAAAGAACACAGCAAATCAATAGAGAGTCCTGGGACCTCCAGCAAGCCCTCTCCTTCCAACACAATGCATGTGACACGGCCAACTTCTTCACTCTCAGAAACACACAACACACATGCTCCCAACACCCACCCTCTCCTGCAACAACAGATAAACTCAAGACATTCAAAGCATCAAAGTACTCCAATAATCACCACCAGGAATCGCCACCATGCTCTGGGGACCCATGTGATTTTTCAAGGGCTGTAATAACTTGAGGGTCACCACGACCAGTTCTAGCCTCTAGCTTTGGCATTATTTTCCCAACCAACATCATTTGCAACTAACGGGGAACGTGAACATGGCCGATTCCGTCTGAAAGGCACACAGCTCAGAATTGCCACCCCCACCGCTGGCAGAAAGCTGCAAGAACGCCCACTTTTAACCAAGTTGCTTTCACCACCACAGATGATACATTTACTATACAAGAAACTATGAACAAACAGGATGCTTTTAGAGTGGAACCGTGGCTAACAACTCCTAAGATAATTCTGAGACATGGAGAAGCCTGGCATGGGATGCTGCTGACACAGATGGACCTATGTAGTATAAGATGAGAAAATCCACCGCTGTTGCCTAAAAATACAAGAGGGATTGAAAAGAAGTGTGGAAGAATTGCTTAAACAACACGGGTTGGAATTCAACTGCTAAACACAAAGTTGTCTTGATCTGAAGTTTCCAAAACACTTGAAGTAGAATTCTAGAACAGTGACTTGAACAAGAAATCACCTTGCTATAAAAACAGATGGAAAAAACATGCTTTACAGGGAAATGGACTTCAAGCAATTTAATCTATGATTAATCAGAAATTAAAGTTGTAGTCATGATGATTTGTAGAAGATAATTTTATCAATATATATTAAAAAAAACAGTTATACAGGCTACCCAGATTTGCATGCTTCCTCTTCTGTGCCAAGCTTGATGGGAAAAGGTACATTTTCTCCCAAAGTTAGTGGGAATTTTTTGCCTTACACCACAGATTTCCTTCTAGCATTAAGAACCACAGGAAACTGAAACTTACGGTTGGATTCAATGCAAGTAGGTCTTTTAATTCTGTATTATCTTAAATGCTGGTGGGGTCTGAAATTGTTCAAATCTTGAAGCCATTTTTATTCTGGTGTGATTGCCCATAATATCCTGTAATCCCAGCTCTCAAAATGATACAAATAAAGATGTTTTTCCCCACTTTAGAAATGAGTGATAGGTTTTATCTGTTACGTGCTGTCTCATATTGAAGAGGCACAGTGTCTTTCTGCCAAAATCCCCACCACCAATACATACCCCCAAATTTTGGTAATATGGAAATTTAATCGATTAAAAGCCAAGGTAGGATCAATTATTTTTTAAAGCACAGTTTATAACTGATAAGGCAAAAAAGATAAAGCAGGTGGATTTAACAACATGCTTAGAGTAGATATTTTTGCTCTGAAGTAAAATGTATCTGGCATATGCATGAAAGCTGGATAAAACCTAGGCTTGGCTAAGCATGATCCGCAGTAAAGGTGGACAGGCTTCAGATGTGTGAGATTACTTGGTTCTTTACTAGAACCCCAAGATCTACTAACCAGAGCCAGGTGCCAAAGACAGAAACATAGAATTAAAAAATTATGAGACCAGACATTTACGTGTGTTTTTTTTTCTTTCTTTTGGAGTACCAGAATGAAATGAAGTGTATAAGTCATTCAATATAAAAAGCCCACTCCAGGTTATCATTTCAACTGCATAATCTAGATCAAAAGAGTGTCGTTTTGTTGTTAGTATGGTTAAACAATTGGGAATCAGAAATCCTTGCAATCGACCTTCTTCCCAACACCACCCTACAAGATTTTAGGAGATTATTTTTACAAATATCTTGAGAGACCAATAAAGACACAAGCAGGGTGGCAAGGCATTCCCATACTTCAGCGGCTAGGAAGTTAAGCATATAATTACTAAATTAATAGTAAAATACAGGTCACAAAGAGGGTGTACAAGATCTGAAATTCTGATCTCCAATAACTTAAACTTTAATTTAAATTTATAGCATGGTGGTAAGTTTGCATTCAACAGGACATTTCTCTCAGATAACAAACATGGAAAGATGATTTAATGAAAAATATTCCACAGATAATAGAGCCCACTCCATGTATACATATTGTGAATAGTTTTATATAAACTGTATTTGAGCAGTAACTGGCACTCAAACTTATGCTCAAACACAAAATGAGTATTGTAGGGTAACTCCAATGGATTTCTCAACTCTTTCAGTTATACCCCAAGATAATAAATTATTGAATCTCTATCATAGCTGGGGGTTTTTTTAAAAAAAAAAAACACCACATAGGCGTCAGTTAGTCAATGAAACGATTGGTCATCTTCCTAGGATTTGTATAGTCTCAAGATTACACATTTATTAACAGCAACACAACTGGCTATTAGTCATAAATGAAAGAAAATTAACTTGCCCTCTAATCACCCCTGGTGCTTGAGGGTATGGGCATGGCTTATTCAATTAAACTCACAAACGAGGTAACAGAGGAGGAAAGAGCAAAGTGATTTATTGAAAGATTGAAGGTTCCCTCCCCCCCTCAATACTGGAATAATGAAATCTATGAAAGATTGAACTTTTCAGTCCCACTACATTCTGGGAATAAGTTGATCAACAGATGAATATCTGAATTAGCTAACTAAAAGCAAGTTAATACTGTTTTGATCGTGATTTATTGTCATTAGATTTAATTCATATTTTTGTCTTCATTTGTTGTTTATGTGTAATGTATAATTATTGTGGAATTATTGTGGAACAATTGCTTACGTAATACTTAGTAGAAATAGTATTTTTTTCAAAAAATTGCCGTGTTAGCAATTTATGGCCTAGAAGCTCTTCCCTGATAGGTCTCCTGCCATTTGTGGTCCAAAGGGAATCACCCATTGCCTTCTCACAAATTAGGTTATCCTCCAGGAGTTTTTCCTCCTTCCTTGTAGCATGTTGCTTGCCTTCTTACCTGAACCACCTGGACTTGCCTGACAAAGTTTACTGGACAGAAGCAGCTTTCAACATGTGTCTTATCACCCTTGTACTCCCTCTTTCAACAACTTAAGGAGAAAACTATTAGTCATCTGAGCATAATGAAGCAGAACAAGGACAGATGACTTTGGAATGTTGCCCGTTTTCATCCTTGGAACAGGGATGAGAGAGGCAACTTCGTCCACATGTGACCATGAGGAGCTCTCCATGGTTTGGAGAAAGACACCACAATAAATAGCCCATGCAAAGCAACAAGCCATTGCGTTGGTCTCACAGAGCTGTGAATGATGGGGAAGAAGGGGGAGGAAAAGAAAAGGCAGAGAACTCACTGTGTTGCACTGAGCTACAATCAAAGTTAACATTAGCATCTGGTCACCCATTGCAATATTAAATGCCTATAGTGCATGGCCTGCCGCATTAGAACAGAGCTACAGGCACTGCTAGCATCAGCACAACTTTGTTGCTCCCACTCTCAGCTTCTGGATCAGTTACAATCTATTGTACAATGTGTGTGCGTTTTTAAAGGAGACTCAACCAATTTGGGAGAATATCGCATGCTGGCAAAATGCTCATCAGTACAAATGGACTGTATGTGTCCTTCCCTTTCTAGAGAAGTGAATGGTTTTTCCACTAACAATATTTAGCGTTATGGATTCCACTACCTTTTACAGTAGTAATCAAAGCAGCTGCAACTGGAGACACTGCAGGGAGTGGACAAAACTTGATCTCCTCCTTGGGCGCTGACAATCCCTGCAGAACCTCCTATGCTCCATCTCATGGATGAAAAGAACCCCACAGCCCCATCCTTGCTTGGAGCAAAGAAGAAAGGGCAAGGCAGTACTTAGAGGTACAACTGGTTCTTGCATAAACTTCCACTCCACAATTAATAACTGTTTACCTAACCGAAATTTCTGTAACACAGACCTTACTAGAAAATTATTATTCACAGAAAATCTGCATCTTGAAAGATCGAACTAACTTAACCTGCTAGAGAGAGTTGCTTATTTTCCATAATTAATTTTAGGTGTAAAATCTGAAACCTTGAGTACACAATTTGATTTACTTTGCATAGGTAGCCCCATATAAGGCATGTGATCTCATTAGTGGATAAAACCTCAGAGAGAAAAGACAACTCTATAATAAAACAGGAAGGTGACATATCTAGGTTTTGACATGGTGTATTTTAATCAATGATAAAATGAACAACATAAGTGAAGGAAGTTGATCTGTAAAACCTGGGAGGCATGCATGAAGCTAGGGTGACTTATGCTGCACAGATGGCTTCCATTATAGATGACACAGGCTGGATGGTTGGCAGAACCAGACAAACCAGTCTCTTATGAGAAGCCTGGAGTGGACACTGGGTGGCCTTCACCTATGAAATTAATTCACTATGAAATGAAGCAGAGACAGAGAGAGAGAGTCACAAAGACTGATGGAATACATGATATATTCCTTAAAAACACCTATTTCCCACATTCATTGTTTCCATCTATACAAACAAGGGGCAGAAGTAGGTATGCTAGCAATTACTTCTAATGTTCCCAACACCTCAAATTTCTAAGGTGGAGGAGTTGCCATAAAATGGTTTCCCCTCCCAATAGTCACATGGCAAAAGTATTGTGAAATTCACTATACTGTATAATTTCTGGCTAACCATATCCTGAACATGGTTTTTCAGAAATAATACAAGGAGATTCTCACCAGTTCTGACTTTCCCACTTAAGAAAATGGGTGTGTGTATTAGCTCTTAATGCAATGCAAATGATTCCATAAATGCTAATAAATAACAGTGGCCTACCACTCATGCCAATGGAAGATGTACACTTTTGAAATATGCAGCTTGTCCAGTCCAACCAAAATATTATGACTGAGCATGGTATATACAAAAGCACACAGAAGTTGAATACAATGCACCAATTATGCTAGAAGGCCAGCATCATAATGC